CCTGGGTGATGCCGGATAACAGACCTTTTACTGTAGCTTGAAAACTGTAAGAGATAGAACATTTGTGTCTTCAGAGAAATTTCTTTTCTAAACCTTAACAATTTTTAGTGACCATGTCAGGATGATCCCAACTTCCAGAATTGGGAAAAAAGTCAGGGACCAGGGCTGTTTCTACTGAGCTCCTCCCACGATGGTGCTGGGAGCCTGGCACAGTGGGGAAGGCAGAGGGAGAGGCCAGCTAAGGAAAAGCAGGAGCCAGATAGAGGTGTGAGCTAGTGGGCAAACAACGGCAGCCCTGTCTGCAGCCCTGAGCAGGGAAGGAGGTGCCCTAGGGGCGGCGTGGAGGAAGTCCCAGGTTGTGGGCAGCTGTTGTGAGGTGCGGAGCTCACCTGCCCTTGCCCAGCAAAGAGGCATGCAGGTGGTGGCCAGGTGGCAGCATGGGTGGGTCCAGCTCCAGGCCGCTGGATGAGAGCAAGTGCAGGAAGGAACTGGTGTTTTCAAATGTTCAGCCTATTTTATTTTTAATAAATATTTAATTTATTTAATAAATATAAAAAGTAAAATCTATCTGTTTGTTTTTGTTATTTGAAATTCATCTGTCAGTCATGATGGGCAATTCGCTAGTACTGTATAATGTATGTTATAACAATGCAATATAGTAATAGATATTTCATTGCTATCTTGGGAAAGATGCCAAAATCCAGGTCTACAATGCAGTCACCATCCCCTCTATAGATGTGAAATGTGGATAACCTACTGTTGTCTTCTCAAGTGCCTAGAGATGTATTATCAATGCCTCTAGAAAATCTTTCTCATCAAATAGGAAGATCACCGCATAGACATCAACATCCTTGCTGAAACCAGTGTTTCCAGCATCAAGTTAGTGATCCTCAAGCACCAACCTTGCTGGACCAGACACTGTGTGTGGATGCCTGTCTCCTAACTCCCAAAACAAGTACTCTGCCCCCTGCTTAGTAACGACCTGAGATTTTGCAGCAGCCAGACAAAATGCTACAAGGACATGCAGAAGGCATACCTCAAGAAAACAGATGCTGAAGTCAAGAGCTGGGAGGAGCTGGCTGCCAACCAACTTCAGTGGTGCTGCAAACTCAACCAAGTGGCAGCCCATTTTGGGAAAAACTGCCTTGCTCTTGAAGCAGAGAAGAGAGAGCAGAGGAAGGAAACTGTGGACAGGTCTGTGGCTCAAGAATTGGACTCTTATATCATCTTGAGACCCAGCAATGAGCAGTGGTACAGATCATCCTTGCCGGTGTCAGTGATGATTCTAATTATATTATTACTTAATTATATTAGAACAGGTTTGTTATTCTTATCATTATTATTCTTATTGTTATCATCAGTTATTGCCATTATCATTATCATGATTATCATCAGTATTTTTATCATCATGATTCTTGTTATTGTTATTATTGCAATGCTGTTATAATAACAATAAGTATTAGTATTATTATTATTGGTGGCGGTGGTTTTTATTATTACTGTTATTGTTGACTTGTTGATATGGATATCGCCATTATCATTATCATGATAATCACTATTTTATCGTTATGATTTTTGTTATCATTATTATTTCGATTGCTGTTATAATGACAGCAATAGTTATTATTATCATTGTTTTTACTACAATTATTATTATTATTAGTGGTGGTGGTGGTGATTATTATTGTTATTGTTGACAGTGATATTGTTGATATCGATATCGCCATTATCATTATCATGATTATCACTATTTTTATCATCATGATTCTTGTTATCATTATTATTATTGTGACTGTTATAATGACAACAATAATTATTGTTATGATTATTATTTTTTTTACTACTACTACTATTATTGGTGGTAGTGGTGGTGGTGGTTTTTATTATTGATGCGATTATTGTTGTTTTTATTGGTTTTACTATTATTATTGTGTTTGTTGTAGTTTTGTTGTTTTTATTATTGTTGTGCTTCTTCTTGTTTTTATTGTAATTGTTGTTGGTTTTATTATCGTCGTTATTGGTGTTAAGGTTTGCCTTCTTATTGTCGTCAGTATTATTATCGTTATTCTTGCTGTTGCTATTATTATTGTTGCAATAATTACGATTCTTATTGTTTTTATTAGTCTTTTGTTTATTGTTGTTCTTGTTATAATTACTGTGGTTGGTTTATATCGTGGCTGTTGTTGTTACCAGTCTTACTGTTGTGGCCGACACCGTGCCGCGCACAGGAGCGGTGGCGGCGCCGCCCGGGCCGGGACAGCCCGCCG